CTAGACTTCGCTGGTCGTTAAAGTCCCGTCGCTTCTGCGCTCGAGGGTGGAGCCAACGGGTATTAGTAATGTATTTCCCCCCTGAGAGAAGACGCTGTTTCGAGGTGGGCGCGCGCCACCCACAGACTCACAGCTGTGACCCGCATGGGATGGAAAGGATGTATAACATGCGTTATCACCCGTTCAAGTTTACAGGCAGGGCGGAGGGGGGATCGCAACTCTTGCGCGAATCGCTTGTCGCATCCCGGGAAGGAGCAGGCAAACGGCCTCTCGCCTATGGGACGGTTCCGAGAAGCTTCCGGGAAGGGGCGTGGAAGGGGCGCTGGCGCCTCTGCTACCAGGTCACAGTATGGGAATGGGACGTATTCACAGCAGTGTCGGGTGCATCTGCGAGCGCGGCAGGTGTGTGCTCGCTGCTGGCTGTTGTGTCTAGCTGTTGGTGTTGCCGCAGTGGCTGTTGGCGCTGTTGGTGTTGCCGCAGTGGCTGTTGTGCTCGCTGGTGTGCGTGCGCAGGGAGGAGAGGGGAGGAGAGGAGAGGAGAGGAGAGGAGAGGAGAGGAGAGGAGAGGAGAGGCAGAGCAGGAGGAGGGGCAGAGCAGCGCAGAGCAGCGCAGCGCAGAGGAGAGGAGAGGAGAGCTACCTCTCGGCTACCTCTCGGCTACCTCTCGGCTACCTCTCGGCTACCTCTCGGCTACCTCTCGGCTACCTCTCGGCTACCTCTCGGCTACCTCTCGGCTACCTCTCGGCTACCTCTCGGCTACCTCTCGGCTACCTCTCGGCTACCTCTCGGCTACCTCTCGGCTACCTCTCGGCTACCTCTCGGCTACCTCTCGGCTACCTCTCGGCTACCTCTCGGCTACCTCTCGGCTACCTCTCGGCTACCTCTCGGCTACCTCTCGGCTACCTCTCGGCTACCTCTCGGCTACCTCTCGGCTACCTCTCGGCTACCTCTCGGCTACCTCTCGGCTACCTCTCGGCTACCTCTCGGCTACCTCTCGGCTACCTCTCGGCTACCTCTCGCCGGTGTGCGTGCGCATGTGCGAGCGCAGGTTGAAATCAAGCGAGAAGCGCTTTCCTGCGGGGCGAGGGGTGAGGGGTGGGAGGGCGAGGGGTGAGGGGTGGGAGGGTGAGGGGTGAGGGTGAGGGGTGAGGGGTGAGGGGTGAGGGGTGAGGGGTGAGGGGTGAGGGGTGAGGGGTGAGGGGTGAGGGGTGAGGGTGAGGGGTGAGGGTGAGGGGTGAGGGGTGAGGGGTGAGGGGTGAGGGGTGAGGGTGAGGGTGAGGGTGAGGGTGAGGGTTAGCGCGCCTGCGGTGCAAGGGGCGAGAGAGTCGGAGGAGGCCAGCGCAAAGCGGAGGAGAGCAGAGGAAAGGAGGGCGGAGCAGAGGAGAGGAGGGCAGAGGAGCGGCTCCAAAGCGCTCACCGCAGCCCTCAAATGGACAAAGGTAGGGCCGTTCGCCTGCGGCAAGGGGAGCGGGGCGAGAGAAGATGAGACTCGTGCAAACGACTGTTACCCTCAGCGCTTTCCCAAGCTCTCCCCCCCCCCCCCCTTCCCCTCGCGAGACGCGCGCTGAGGGGCGGTCTTGGAGACGAGGCGCGCTCAGTGCTGCTGTGAGGCAAGATGGGCGTCTCCGCACGCCGCGATCACCCGAGGCTACTCTCGACTGTCCCTTGCGCGCGGTGTCTGGGCCCGGAAAGGTGTCTTTAGGGGCGGGGAGGCGCGCGCCCGTGTGGGTGAGGGAGTGTCGCTTCAGCTTGGAGGAGTCGAGGAAGCGCTTGCCGCACCCCTCGACCTGGCACACGTACTGCTTCTCGCCGTGCGTGTGCATGTGCTTGCGCAGCGACGCCGCGTCCGCGAACGCCTTGCCGCAACCCTCGAGTGTGCACAAGTACGCGGCAGAGTCGCCAGGCACGCGCCGCGCGCCGAGCGCCGGCGCGTCGTCGGAGACCCACTTACGGACGGTGATCGTGCCGCTGAGCGTCTTCTGCTGGATTAGCCGCGACTTCCACCGGCGCGGGCGCGGGTTGCGCATGTGGGTCGTGCCGGCAGCATTGCTGCTGGCGGCGGCATCGCTGCTGAGCTGCGCAGGCGGTGGACAGGGCTCGCACACGGCGTCCATGGAGGGTGTCAAATAGGAAGGAGGAGGAGGGGGCGGTTGGGCTTGTCGAGGGAGCACCAGCAGTGGCGCTTCGCGAGGCGCCAGCAGGGAGCACTGCTGAGGAAAAAAAACCGCGGGGGTCCGTCCAGGGACTCCCTTGGGTTGTCAGCGCTGAGACAAAATAACGCTCGGACAAAATAAAAAAGGACGGGTTGCCCGGCCGCGGGTTGCTGCGCTGCCCGCACTCACGGACCCCATACCCGACAGAAAGAAAAGGGAGCTCGCGGGGGAGGTGACGAGAGAGAGAGATTTTTAGCAATACCAAACAACTCTAACACTCACACGTCATTTGGGGCCTGGAGCCCTGTTCACGCGCGCGCGAGACGTGCAGACAGGGTTGCCAGGTGAGAGCGAATGGCGCGGTTCACGCCTCGCACAACAGAGAGAGAGATGCGCTCTGCATGGTGGGACATAAAAGAGAGCGAGTACTTGGGCGAGTAGGCCGTGCGGTCAACGCTGCCGCGCGCGACTTTGCTTTGTGACGAGTGAACTACAGGTAGCACGCTGAGAGACAAGATAACGCACGGGCGCTCAGCGGAGCTGGGAATAGGACCGCCGCAAGCGGCGTGGCGTGGAGCGGTTGAGCATCCCTCCGGGGGCCCCTCTGCGCCGGGGAGGCGTTGTTGGAGGCTAGGACGCAAGCGTCCGTCGCCCTTTTCAAACTCGGGCCCCACTCCGCTACGCTCCGACCCGAATTTGGAGGGCCATGAAGGATCTAAGGTGTTGCTGCGCAAAAGGGGCGGGGCGCGGGCGCGCGCCCGCGCGGCGGGCGTCGAGAGTTCTTTTTTTGGAGACCAGACCTTTCGATGGTTCATGCTTTCTATGTCTATCTATCATGCTTCATGACACGACACGCGGTGGTGGAGCTGGTGGAGCTGTCAGCTGATCGATCCAAGCGGGTGGGGAGTGGGGGGCATGGCTGGGCATGCAGGTCCGCCAGTCGGCCCGGCCTCTGACGTGGTGCTGCCGCTGCATTTGCTGAAGAAGAGAGGTGCGACGGCTTGATTTGGAGGCACTGGAGGCGAGGGTGGGGAAGGGAAGGTTGGGCCGGGCCGTGAGGGGCCGATGGCGCTGGCCAGCGCGGGGTGTGAGATGCCGTCGTCGTCGTATACTGCTGGCCCTCGCCCTCAGTTGCCAGGGCTGTGGGCTGCAGAATTGGCGGCGGCGGCGGTGACGGCGGCGGCGAGCTCCTCTACTCCCTGCCTTTCACAGCCCCGCAGTGCGCACCCCTGGATCTTCTTTGGCAGCAGCTGGTTCGACAGGTCCTCTCCGTGGCCTAGGCAGCCGCGTTCACCCTTGCCCCAGTCCACGTGGATTGTTTGAAACACAGAGGAAGGGACTTTCACCTTTCTTCTCTAAAGAACGAAGACTCGATCTCTCAAAAGACAGCTCACGCGGCTCCATACTTGATACTAGTATCATCGGCCATGGCCGCAGGAAGCGCCGGGGAGGGCGCTGGGAGCACCACACAGAGCTCCGTTGGACGCGTTTTCAAGATTAGCTTCTGTCAGAGTGAAATGGAACTAGCCAAAAGACAGCTCACGCGGCTCACGCGGCCGTCCGCCTGCGCACCCTCCTCACCCCGAGGCTGACTAGCGCCTCGTCGCACCTCTCCGCCTGCCTCTCCGCTCCCTCCTCCGCCGTCTCTCGAGCGAGCGCCTGTAGCGCCGCCACGCCGCTGACCCGGTGCCACTGCTCAGCGCACGCAGACGAGGAGGTTGCGAGGGCCAGAAGGGCGTTGATGCTGTCTCTGCGCCAGCAATTTTCCTCGGGTTGGTCCAGCCGCGAGAGCAGCAGCGAGAGGCAAGTGTCGTCAGCGGGGAGGTCGGGACAGGTGCTGGTCAGGTACACAAGGGAAATGGCAGCAGCGAGCTTGCAGTCGTCCGAGGCACTTGCCTCCTGCGTGAGAGAGGAGAGGACCGCCACACCGCCAGCCTCGACGACGCCCTCGTGCGTGCCAGGTGCTGCCTCAATCATGTTGCGGAGGCCCGCTGCGGCATTCTCCTTCTGCCTCTCAGTCCCATCGCGAGCCAGCGCAATAAGCACCTCCACGCCGCCGGCCGCCGCGATCGCCACGCTGTTCTCGTCGTTGATAGCGAGGTTTGCTAGTGTTCCCGCAACATTTTCCTTATGCGCCTCATTCCCGTCGCCAGCCAGCGACACGAGGACCTCGATCCCGCCGGCCGCGGCGATCGCGGTGATCACCGCCTCGTTATCGTCGTTGTCAGTGAGGTTGCACAGCGCCGCCGCCGCAAACTCCTTCTGCCCCTCTATCCCGTCGCGAGCCAACGACACGAGGACCTCAATCCCGCCGGCTGCAGTAATCGCCACGCTGTTGTCGTCGTTGTGAGCGAGGTTCCACAGCGCCGCCGCCGCACACTCCTTCTGCCTCTCAGTCCCGTCGCGAGCCAGCGACACGAGGACCTCCACGCCGCCGGCTGCAGCGATCGCCACTCTGTTGTCGTCGTTGTCAGCGAGGTTCCACAGCGCCCCCGCCGCACGCTCCTTCTGCGCCTCATTCCCGTCACGCGCCAGCGCGACGAGGACCTCGACCCCGCCGGCCGCGGCTATCGCCACCTTGTTGTCCTCGTTGTCAGCGAGGTTCCACAGCGCCCCCGCCGCATTCTCCTTCTGCCTCTCATTCCCATCGCGAACCAACGACACGAGGACCTCGATGCCGCCGGCCGCAGCAATCGCCGCCTTGTTGTCGTCGTCCATGGCAAGCTCCCGGAGCGTTTCCGCGACGTCCGCCTTCTCGTCCTCGTCTCCAACCCGTAAGAGAGCGACGAGCGCGTCCATCCGCCTGCCGCTGGCCTCCTCTCCCGACAGCCGCTTGAGCTCTCCGAGCGCCGCAGCGCGCAGCTCCGAGGAGGCATCGCCCGCGGTCTCCACCAGCCGCGCGAAGGCACCGCGCGGCGCGCAGATCAGGGACCACCGCTTGCACACGGCCGCGTGGCGCAGGCCCGTCTTCTCGAGGACGCACGGCGCAAGGTCCAGGTCCGCGAGGACGTCGGTCGCGACGGCGGGCGGAGGGCTGTGGTGCGCGAGGAGCGCCTCGGCCCTCCTGTTTGCAGCGGCGCTGTCCCGCATGGCGCCGGCGGTGATCGCGACCAGGGCATCGGGCGGAAGAGCGGCGAGCCGCAGCTCGTAGCGGGCGGAGGCGAGCATTCGCGGTGCGGCGTTTTCCACGTTTTTCTTTTCAAGGCGGGACGAACCCGATGGAGAGCGAGCCGCCAGTGAGTGAGACGTACGACGACGAGGGAGACGACGAGAGAGACGAGAACGCCTCGGCGGACGACGAAATGGCCTTTATCGACGATGAGTTCTTCGAGCTCCCCGACGTAGCAACGGAGGAAGGGGCGGAGGGCGGGGGGAGCCAGAGTCAGTACAGCCAACAGAGTCAGTACAGCCAGCAGAGTCAGGGGGGCGAGAGCGAAGGGAGCCAGAACAGCCAGGGCAGCCAGAGTACTGCGAGAAGTCCAAGACGAGGACGCCACAACCGCCGCGCGGCCCAACAGTTCATGGACCGACTGAGGCTCGAGCTGCTTCTCGGGCACAGCGGGGGTGAAACCAGGGAACACCCCACCAGCCAAGACAACGACGACAGCGACGATGGCGCAAGGAGACGACGAGGAGACACCCGACCGCGCAGCAAAGCCAGGACCGAGCGAGCAACCACCCGAAACGGGCCATCCGAACGATGGCAGCCAGGCAGACGACGAGTTTACAGTGATGGACGTAGACGAAGGACAGCCAGAGCACGAGGCATCCCAGCCGCCGAGGAAGCGGGGGCGATTTGAGAACGAACGGAGCGATTCGATGAGTCAGGGAGAGGGGCCCGGGCGAGCAAACAGCATGGAGAGGATGGAGAGCCGGTGACGAAAGCCCAGAAGCAGCGCCTACGCAAACGAATGGAGGGATCGGCAAGAAAATCGGGGGATCAAAAGTCATACGAGAAAGACCGCAGCAAGAGGCGAAGAGGAGGAGGGGTGAGGGAAAATTTCTGAACGGCCGAGCCTGCAAAGCAGGCCCGGACAACTAAGAAGGTCCCTCGCCCAGTGTAAATTGAAGGCTTGCACGGCCGACATCGCCCAGTTCGTGCACGGTATTCGGATTTTGCTATTTGCTCGTGTGGGGGTATATCGCAGATTTGTCAATGGTACCGCGTCTGCGACGCGGGCGCCTTGCGGGCAGAGCCCTTAGGACACCCTTTGTATCTTGCGCGGTCAAAAATAAGATTTTTTCTCGTAGTGGAACTTAACAATGCTCGTAAAACCATGATCGATGCGAGGACGCAAGTCCACCAACCTCGGCCATTCCAACGGCCAGACCGCTCGCTTAAGGCTGATTGGCTAGACGAGCGGTCTACCTCCAACGGGGCGGTCCGGGAACGCGTGGAACCTGCCCGCCTCGGTGGGAGGTGGTTTGGCGCCGACGGGCCGCCCTCTCCACCACCCTCGCCCAGGGATCTACAATGCTGTCTTAAGGTCCGACAGGTTCGGCACCGGGCACCGCCTCGGTATACAAAATGCGCCTGCGGGCGGACCCTTACAGATCACAGATCACACACACATACACACACATACACACACACACACACACACACACACACACCGCTCACACCCACGCGCACTGGGCCTTGCACTTTGAATGCCGTGGGGCTCCTGTCGTTAGACGTGGAGACGCGAGGGTCGCCCCCCCTTGCCCCACCACCTCGTGTGTGTGGAGAAGTTTACCTTACCTTACTTACCTTCGCCCGGGGCCCGGCCGTACACAGACAGCGTGTCCGGATGGGCCGACGTACTTAGCTGCACGCTCTGCAGCGCGCGTCTTCTACGTCCGCCTTTCCCCCACCGCCCGCGCGTAGGCCACCGCCGCCTCCACCGCCGAGTCGAAGACGCCGATGTAGATGGTCCTGCTCCCCTCGTAGCGACGCGCTTCGAAGCGGCCAGCCTGCTGGGTGTGCTTGCGCACCCCCTTGTAGCCGGTGATGCTGCCGCTGGAGAAGTGCAGCTTCAGCCCCTCCGCCTCCGCCAGCAAAGCTTCCTCCTCCTCGTCGTCGTCGTCCTCCTCCTCCTCGTCGTCCTCCTCCTCCTCACCGCCGTCCTCCCCCTCCTCATCTCGGGCACCAGCAGCCCTGGCACCAGCGGCCCTGGAACTGGCCCGCAGCCGAGTGCGAAGCTCTGCCTGCCCCACCGCCCGTGCGTAGGCCACCGCCGCCTCGACGACCGTGTGGAAGACGCCAATGTAGATGGTTCTGCTCCCCTCAGTGCGGAAAGCTCGGTAGCGGCCGCGCTGGTGCTCATGGCACACGCCCTTGTAGCCGGTGCTGCTGCTGCTCGAGAGGTGCAAGCGCAAGCCCTCCGACTCCGCCACCGGAGCCTCCTCCTCCTCACCGCTGCCCTCCTCCTCCACCTCCTCGCCCTCCTCGCCCTCCTCCTTCTCCTCCTCCCATGCGGACGCTTCGTCGACCGCCGGGCGGCTCCGCAGCTGCTGCGCTCGCGCCCGCTGCGCCGCGGAAGCCACGGCCTGCTTCCGCGGCGCAGCAGCCGGCGCTGCGGACGCGGACAGGGTCGCCTCTGGCTGCGAGCGACCGCCGCCCGTCCATTTGCTCGCTCTGCCGAGAAGGAAGCCGTCGCCAACACCGAGCCGCTGCACGGCGGTGCGGGCGCGGCCAGTGCTGCGCGCCAAGACCGCCTCGCCCGCGCCGTCGTTGGGGTCGCGCAACCCCTCCTCCGCTGCCACCGGAGCCTCCTGCTCCTCCTCCGCCGCCTCGGCTCCGCCCGTCGACTCCGACGCCTCCGCCGCGTCCGCCGCCTCCGCCGCCTCCGCCGCCGCGCCGCATGCCGACGCTTCGTCGACCGCCGGGCGGCTCCGTAGCTGCTGCGCTCGCGCCCGCTGCGCCGCGGAAGCCACGGCCTGCTTCCGCGGCGCAGCAGCCGGCGCTGCGGACGCGGACAGGGTCGCCTCTGGCTGCGAGCGACCGCCGCCCGTCCAGTCGCTCGCTCTGCCGAGAAGGAAGCCGTCGCCAACACCGAGCCGCTGCACGGCGGTGCGGGCGCGGCCAGTGCTGCGCGCCAAGACCGCCTCGCCCGCGCCGTCGTTGGGGTCGCGCAACCCCTCCTCCGCTGCCACCGGAGCCTCCTGCTCCTCCTCCGCCGCCTCGGCTCCGCCCGTCGACTCCGACGCCTCCGCCGCGTCCGCCGCCTCCGCCGCCTCCGCCGCCTTCGCCGCCTCCGCCGCCCCCGCCACTTTCGCCGCCTTCGCCGCCTCCGCCGCCTCCGCCGCCGCGCCGCATGCCGACGCTTCGTCGACCGCCGGGCGGCTCCGTAGCTGCTGCGCTCGCGCCCGCTGCGCCGCGGAAGCCACGGTCTGCTTCCGCGGCGCAGCAGCCGGCGCTGCGGACGCGGACAGGGTCGCCTCTGGCTGCGAGCGACCGCCGCCCGTCCAGTCGCTCGCTCTGCCGAGAAGGAAGCCGTCGCCAACACCGAGCCGCTGCACGGCGGTGCGGGCGCGGCCAGTGCTGCGCGCCAAGGCGGTCGGCGCGGAGGCCGTCGTCGCCGTTTCGCTCTCCTCCGCCGCCGCCCTGGCCGCCTTGCCCGCCAACGCCGCTGCCGCCGTCGCCTCTCCTTCTGCCGCACCCTCCGCCGCATCCTCCCCTGCCTCCTCGCTCGGCGGCAGAAGCTGCGCCGCAACCGTCGCTGCGGCGGCTTCCTCCGGCTCCGCCTGCCCCACCGCCCGCGCGTAGGCCACCGCCGCCTCCACCGCCGAGTCGAAGGATCCGAGGTACCTGTCCTGTCCGCCGTCCTTGCGCGCGGCGTAGAAGCGACCGGACTCCATCTCGCGCACCCCCTTGTAGCCGGTGCTGCTGCGGTTGGACAAGTGCAGCTTCAGCCCCTCCGCCTCCGCCACCGGAACCGGAGCCTCCCCCTCCCCCTCCTCCTCCTCCTCCTCCTCCTCCTCCTCCTCCTCCTCCTCCTGCTCCTCGCCTTGTGCTTGGTCGCCGTCGGGCACGCCGCGGGAACCCACCGCCGCCGCCAGGGAGGGGCCAGCGTCCGAGCCCTCGCACGACGCTGACGCGTCCAGAGCCGACTCTGGCGCCGCCTCGCCGTGCTTGCGCCACGCGTCGGGCACCGACACGGCTCGCCGCCCCGCCGGCCCGCGGTACACGAGGTAAGTGCGCTCCGACGAGGTCGTGCGCTGCTCGACGCTCCAGCCCGGAGGAAGAGCCGCAGCCGTGGCGCTACGGCCGCCGCCGCCGCCCTGCTTCGCCGCATCCTCGTCGCCGCCCTCGCCGCCCTCGCCGACGCCACGCGGGACCGGTGCGCCGACCCGGGCACGCTTGGCAGGCCGGCAAGCGCGCGCGCCGCCGCCGCTCTCCGCCGTGTGGCTCGCGGGCGCCGCTCGCGGGGAGAGCGCGGCGAGGGTCGGCTCGCGGCAGCGGCGCGTGCGCGGCGCGACGTCCTCGGCCGCAAAGGCGCAGAGTCCTTTGTGCCACATCGGCCGGACGCAGCCGGGCCAGGTGCACACGACTGCGCCCCCGGCCTCGCCGCCACCCTCGTCGCCGTTCGAGGAGCCCGCTGCGTCGCCAGCCTCGCGGCCTGAGGCGCGGCGCAGCTGCGACGCCCCCCTCGCCTTTCCCTCCTCTCCCGCCCGCTCTACGTGGTACATTCGCCACGCCGCCTTTGCCGACTGCACCACGAGCCCTGCAAGCGACACGTACCTGACAGGCAAGGCAAGCGGCGGGGCCTTGTCAGCCGCCCGTGCCCGCCCTTGCAACGCAGCCGTGCGAGAGCGAGGGCGGCACCGCTTGTACGGGAGTCGCTTGCTGCCCTTGGCCGGCATCTTCAGCACCGAGCTCCAGCCAGGAGGAAGCGGCGGCGGCGAGGCGCCAGCGCCTTTCCTCTCGGGCGGCGCCGTTGCCACCGCCTCGCTCAACCCCTCCTCCGCTGCCACCGGAGCCTCCTGCTCCTCCTCCGCCTCCACCGCCTCCACCTCGGCTCCGCCCGTCCACTCCGACGCCTCCGCCGCCTGCGCCGCCTCCACCGCCTCCGCCGCCTCCGCCGCCTCCGCTGCCTCCGCCGCCTCCGCCGCCTCCGCCGCCTCCGCCGCCTCCGCCGCCTCCGCCGCCTCCGCCGCCTCCGCCGCCCCCGCCACTTTCGCCGCCTTCGCCGCCTCCGCCGCCTCCGCCGCCGCGCCGCATGCCGACGCTTCGTCGACCGCCGGGCGGCTCCGCAGCTGCTGCGCTCGCGCCCGCTGCGCCGCGGAAGCCACGGCCTGCTTCCGCGGCGCAGCAGCCGGCGCTGCGGACGCGGACAGGGTCGCCTCTGGCTGCGAGCGACCGCCGCCCGTCCATTCGCTCGCTCTGCCGAGAAGGAAGCCGTCGCCAACACCGAGCCGCTGCACGGCGGTGCGGGCGCGGCCAGTGCTGCGCACCAAGACCGCCTCGCCCACGCCGTCGTTGGGATCGCTCAACCCCTCCTCCGCTGCCACCGGAGCCTCCTGCGCCTCCTCCGCCTCCTCGGCTCCGCCCGTCGACTCCGACGCCTCCGATGCCTCCGCCGCCTCCGCCGCCTCCGCCGCCTCCGCCGCCTCCGCCACCTTCGCCGCGTCCGCCGCGTCCGCCGCGTCCGCCGCCTCCGCCGCCTCCGCCGCCTCCGCCACCTTCGCCGCCTTCGCCGCCTCCGCCGCCTCCGCCGCCTCCGCCGCCTCCGCCGCCTCCGCTGCCTCCGCCGCCTCCGCCGCCTCCGCTGCCTCCGCCGCCGCGCCGCATGCCGACGCTTCGTCGACCGCCGGGCGGCTCCGCAGCTGCTGCGCTCGCGCCCGCTGCGCCGCGGAAGCCACGGCCTGCTGCCGCGGCGCAGCAGCCGGCGCTGCGGACGCGGACAGGGTCGCCTCTGGCTGCGAGCGACCGCCGCCCGTCCAGTCGCTCGCTCTGCCGAGAAGGAAGCCGTCGCCGACTCCGAGCCGCTGCACGGCGGTGCGGGCGCGGCCAGTGCTGCGCACCAAGACCGCCTCGCCCGCGCCGTCGTTGGGGTCGCGCAACCCCTCCTCCGCTGCCACCGGAGCCTCCTGCGCCTCCTCCGCCTCCACCTCCGCCGCCTCGGCTCCGCCCGTCCACTCCGCCGCCTCGGCTCCGCCCGTCCACTCCGCCGCCTCCGCCGCCTCCGCCACCTTCGCCGCCTCCGCCACCTTCGCCGCCTTCGCCGCCTCCGCCACCTTCGCCGCCTTCGCCGCCTCCGCCACCTCCGCCGCCTCCGCCGCCTCCGCCGCCTCCGCCGCGTCCGCCGCCTCCGCCGCCTCCGCCGCCTCCGCCGCCCCCGCCACTTTCGCCGCCTCCGCCGCCTCCGCCGCCTCCGCCGCCGCGCCGCATGCCGACGCTTCGTCGACCGCCGGGCGGCTCCGCAGCTGCTGCGCTCGCGCCCGCTGCGCCGCGGAAGCCACGGCCTGCTGCCGCGGCGCAGCAGCCGGCGCTGCGGACGCGGACAGGGTCGCCTCTGGCTGCGAGCGACCGCCGCCCGTCCAGTCGCTCGCTCTGCCGAGAAGGAAGCCGTCGCCGACACCGAGCCGCTGCACGGCGGTGCGGGCGCGGCCAGTGCTGCGCGCCAAGGCGGTCGGCGCGGAGGCCGTCGTCGCCGTTTCGCTCTCCTCCGCCGCCGCCCTGGCCGCCTTGCCCGCCAACGCCGCTGCCGCCGTCGCCTCTCCTTCTGCCGCACCCTCCGCCGCCTCCTCCCCTGCCTCCTCGCTCGGCGGCAGAGGCTGCGCCGCAACCGTCGCTGCGGCGGCTTTGCGGGCGGCCGACGCCGCGCGGCGCGCCTTGGTCTCCTCCCACTCCGTGAGGATGACCTGGTCGATGATGTGGCGCTCTGGCTCCCACGTGTTCCACCTGCTGCCCCACCCGCGCCACTTGATGCGGTACTCGCGGCCGCCGCCTATAGGACATGTCTCGGACGTGTCATGGACGTGTGCTGGACATGCCTCCACTGCGGTACTCAAGGCCGCCGCCCTCGACGCGCTCCTCGACGATCTTGTCGACCTGGTAGATTGGGGCGCCACCCTCATCCTCCTCCTCCTCCTCCTCCTCACCGCCGTCCTCCCCCTCCTCCTCATCGCCCTCCTCCTCCTCCTCCTCCTCGCCCGCCTCCGGCTCCGCCTGCCCCACCGCCCGCCCGTACGTCAGCGTGGTGACCTGGCCGACGACGCGCGCGCAAAGAGGCGAAGGGTTGGCCTCCGAGCCTGCTGGCGGCGCTTTCCCAACGGTCGACTCCACCTCCACCTCCGACTCGTCGCCGTCCTGTGACGCGCCCTCGCCGCGCCCCTTCGCCTCCGCCACCGGAGCCTCCTCCTCCGCCTCCACCGTTGCCTCGCCCTCGCCCGCCGGCAGGCCCTGCAGATGGCTCGCGACGTGTGTGTCATCGCTTTCACCGCACTGCACGGATGCCGCTTGCTCCACCGCGGCCTCTGCCTCGCCCGCCGAGCCCCGCATCGCCTCCTCCGACCCCTCCGCATCTTCCAGAGGACCCGAGCCTTGCGGAGAGCCGCCATCGTAGGTCCGCCAGCCTGAGCCGCGCTCGTACACAATCACGCCTCTGGCGGTGCGACTGGCGAACGCCGCGTCCGCCGCCGCGTCCGTGTCCGCCGCAAACTCCGACGCCGCCTCGGGAGACGCCCGGCTGGGCGAAAGAGCCTTCGCCCGCGCAACCCGATGCGACGGCTCGGGCTCGCAACCCGTTTCGCGGGTCGCCTGCGAGCGAAACTCGAAGCCGTCCACGACGTCGACGTCGATCTGCATATCTGGGCGGTTCGCACCGCAAAGGGGCGTCGGCGCCTCCCCGGCCGCCCGCGCGTACGCCACCGCCGCCTCCACCGCCGTGTCGAAGGAGCCAAGGACGACCGGCCTTCCGCCCGCAACGCGCTGCACCGCCGCCTGGAACCGGCCAGAGGATTTCCGGCACACGCCCTTGTAGCCGCTGCTGCTGCTGCTCGAGAGGTGCAGCCGCAGCCCCTCCGCCTCTGCCGCCACCGCCGGAGGATTGTGCTCCCCGACCGCACGTGCAAAGGCCACCGCCGCCTCCACCGCCGTGCCGAAAATGCCGAGGGTGACGTTCTTTCCGTCCACACGGCGCCTCGCCGCGAAGCGGCCAAAGGCTAGCTCGTACACGCCTTTGTAGCCGGTGCTCCTGCAGTTCGAGAGGTGCAAGTGCAAGCCCTCCGCCTCCTCCACCGCCTCGTGGAGCACCGGCGCCGGCACCACCGCCGCTGCCGCCGCCGCCTCCGCCGCCGCCTCCGCCGCCACCTCCGCCGCCGCCTCCACCGCCGCCTCCGCCGCCGCCTCCGCCGCCACCGGCGCCTCGCCGACCGCCCGCGCGTACGCCACCGCTCCTTCCACCGCCGTGTCGAAGGAGCCGAGGTGGATTTTCTTCCCCTCATCAGAGCGATGCGCCTCAAAGCGGCCGGTGGGTCTCCGGGACACGCCTTTGTAGCCGGTGCTGCCGCTGCTCGAGAGGTGCAGCCGCAGCCCCTCCGCCTCAGTCGCCACCGCCGCCACACCCTCCCCCTCCGCCTCCTCTGCACGCGTGGGCGCCGGACGCGTCGTGGGATCCCGCCACGTCAGGAGCCCGGCGTCCTCCTGCTCGCCGAGCACGGTTGGCGCGCGGTCGTTGTCCTCGTAGAGGATGGTGTGCTCGCCCGTGCTCGCATCGTACGACTCGACGACGCCGCCGTAGGTCTCCATCTTCTTGCCGTTGACCCACTCCACCCACACGCGCCTACGTCGTGAAGAAAGTGGACCCACGGCGTGATTGCGGCATCGTGCAGTGTATTTCAGAGCATCGCGTGCACATGAGGGCCACGACTTTGCTGCATACGTGCCGCATCTACCCACGCGCGCCGCCCGACGACCTCGGCGCCGTAGACTGGCGGCATCCGTCGCGACGACGCCAGCAGCGTGAAGTGCCCCTCCTCGTCCTCGTCCTCGTCCTCGCCCTCCGCCAGCTCCTCGCCCTCCGCCTCGGCCGGCGGCGCCTCGCCGCCGCCCACACCGCCGCTACTGCTCGCGCCGGCCACTGCTGCTGATGATCGAATCAGCCGCTCGGCCGCATCGCCCACGACGCCGCTGCAATCGGCGAGCGCCCGGCGGGCGTCGCCCTCGGGAAACCCCATGTCGATCAGTTTCTGCAGCGGGCTGACGCACCTGCGCTGCCTGAGCCCGATCGCAACGGTCGCCGCGAACTCGCAATCGAACGAGCGCTTCGCAAAACGACGCCGCTTGGCCGGCAGCGCGAGCACTGCGTCTGAGTCGGCGTCGTGCGAGCGCATGCGCGCGGCTGCCGAGTAGACCTAGCGCAATGCCAAAAGAGCTCTGCTGCTGCTGAGCTGCGTGTGTGATTGGGCATTTCGTGAACACACCTGGAGCCGCACTTGCGCCTTCGGTCTCCCCTTGAGCACACACTTTTGACGCTTGATGCCGGGTCCACCGAGCCGCGGCTTGTCGAGGCAATAGACGCACTCGTCGCAATCAGAGCTCGCGGACGGCCGACTACCCGCACTGACGCCCGTGCGAGCCACGGTGAGGACGAGCCTCACGCGTACGACACTCGCGTTCGCAGGCACGTCGATCGCCATGGCGTCCATCTCCGGCTCCGCTCAGCTGAGGACTCCCGCGGTGCGCGCTGAATTCTTTTTTTGAGAGCGCCTTCGTTGTTAATAGTACAAACCCAATGGTTTCTTGCGAGCGGTCCGTCGTCGCAGTCGCACACACTCACACGCCACGCCTCACCGCGCGCCCACCCGCTGCCCCGCCCAGGCGGGAAAGAGATGAGGAGATGGGACAGCGACGGAGGAGCCACGAACACGTATGGGAGGGTTCAGTAATGCGTCACGCTGCCCGGCGTTTCTCACTTTCCGGGACAGCCCCGCCCTTGTGAGGCAGGAAAGTGACGGCTACCCCGTACGCCCTGTTGCTTCTACCCCGACGCCGACCGCCCATTCCCCCCTCCTCGTTCCCCCCTCGAATGCTCCGGACCCCGACAAGCCGCCCGACGTTGGGCCTCTGCCCCGCACGCTCCCGCCCCTCTGCCCCTCACACGCACCCAGGCCCGGCACGGAGTCTCGCCGCGCCCCTGACCTCCGCGCAGCAACGCACGCAGCCTCACGCTCCAGAACAGATTCGTTTGCAGGCCATGCACGAGAAGCTGGTGAGGTACCATGTGGCAAGCGCCAAGATAATCTCCATCGTGATTGTTTAGCCTGCAGAAGCTTCCTCGAGGCTTCTCTGACGACGACAAGTGGGGCACACCACGAACCGCGAGCGGCTCGCACTCGTGACACGCAGGCGTCCGACAGACGGCGCCGGGCGAGTCCTTCAAAGTTTGCTTGCGTGTAACCGAGTGCCCTCGCGCGAGATGCTTTCGTCGTTCTCGCCGTCGGCCGAGGCGCACCGCCTGGTCATCCACCACCGTCTCAACCTCACCATCAGACCCGTGGAGCACACGGCCTCCTCTCGTCGATTCGCCAACTGCTCGGCCGGCGTCCAGCACCCAAGCCGCCAGGTCTGCTGCAACGCTACGTGCGGGCTGTGCGGCGGCCATGGCTGCTCCGGTCGCCCCGGCGGGCCACGCGAGTGCTGCATGCCCGCTATCTTGCGTACGGGTCGGGTCTGCGAATCACGGGCAGACGTGGCCTGCATTCTTCGGGGCAGCAGCAACTATAACCGAGGCGATGGCAGTCAGCTAACACTGGCCGCCTCCAGTCCTCATTCGACGTCAATGGCCACGCCCTGCTCTTCTCCGGAGCTTGTTCTGCTCTTTTACGAGCATGACTGGCTGTGGAGGAGCGGCGGCATCCCGCGTGGGCTGGCCATGCGCTTCGCAGAGCTCCTCTCGGGCCGCACCGTGCATACCAACACTTCAGCTCCGCCAGCAGCCTGCCCGCCGCGGCTTAGAGCCAAAAGGCGCGACCCGCGCGCACTAGAGCCAAAAGGCGCGACCCGCGCGCACTTCCGCCTGCCCTCGCGGGTGCTGCGCTTCGCGCTGCAGCGCCGCTTCGGCTTGCACCTGTCGATGATGACGGACGTCATGGAGGACGGCATCTACATCCAGCACGATCTGCCCTTTGACGCCCTCGGCGACGTGGCGCAGAACGACGGCGCGGCGGGCCACCAGACGCGGCACAAGGAGGTCCTCCTGGACCTTGTCGCGCTGCTGCGGGGTGCAAGTGGGAAGGTCGTTCGAGCCTGGAACGTCGCCTATAGACGACGCAACGGTTGGGTAGAGGGTAAAGTAGTAGGGTGAGCGGCGTGCCGCGCGCCCACCCCCCGGAGATGAGGCTTGAGGGCGCGCAGTGAGGTGAACTCGCCCGCGGCCAGCTCTGGGAGCAGGGTTGGGCTGGTCGCGGCGCTCATGCGGCCGTCCGTCCTTATATATGTTTCAAAAAGAAGAATGTAAACAAAAGAACTCTCTCTCTCACAGCAGACAGGCTCGACACAGGTGCGGACTGGCGCGTGCTAGCACTAACCGCACTATCACAGGCGAACCACCGGAGAGAAGGAGAGAAGAAATTACAACAAACCCTATTACGGGTTACACAGGACATCGTGTACTGGTCGGCTTTCCCCGCGGCTAGCTCGACGCCCACGCGTCCAGGCAGCACGCGCGCGCAGTGGCCAGTGACAGTTGTGTATGTGTGTATCCCGCCCGCGTGAGGCTGAGGGCGTGTGTACTCTCTACACCGCGAGTTCTCTCAGTCCTTCCACTCCAGCGTCCAAGATGAGAACTCACAAGCGGTGCAGGCGGCGGGCCCGGGGGATAAAATTAGAGACGAGGCAACAACTTAACGCAACGCGAAAAACGACCGCTGTCCGTGTGGCAGCAGATACAGATACGAGTCCTCTCGGCGACGCCCCGGCCCTCTAGTTGTACACGAGATACTTTGGCGTCGCCGAGAACTTGGAGTAGCCCTTGATCACCTTGTTGACGGCGTCGATCATGTCCTTCTCCGTCACGGTCTTCCGCCTCGAGCGGATCGCAAACATGCCCGCCTAAAAAAAGAAAACACACGACCGTCAAACAAGGACTGGCCCGGCTCGAGCGAGGGTCGCAGAACATGCCCCCGCCTCAATGCAGACCGAGCGCAGGTCGGCGCCGGTGCAGTTCGGGCACAGCCGCGCCAGTAGCTCGAAGCGGATGTCGCGCTCGCCTGTTCACATGAGATCTGACCAGTGAATTCTTTGCCCCATGCGCTTTCTTTTTCGCCTGTTCACAGCCGCGCGCGCGCGCGCGTGTCAGGGGGGGCGCCGCTCCGCCGCCCGCTCCGGAGCGCACGCCGCGGGCTGAGTGTCTCGTCTTGTGGTTCTGTGTGTCGCTCCTGTGTGACCGTCACCGCCCGTCTCGCGTCCACCCATACCGCGCTAGTGTCCAGCCGTTGGTCGGACTGTGTTTCGCCTTCCCAACTACGTATTAATTAGGGCGCTCACGGTTCGCACGCCGCGGGGACATGGGAGGGGTAAGGGGGGGAGTGTGCGAGGGGGGGTGTGAGGTGGCGAGTGAGGTGGGTGCGGCGGCGTGTGAGGCGGCGGTGTGTGACATGGCACGCTAGGCGGGCGCGCACAGTTCATCGAGCGAGAGTGGATCTGGAAGATGGACGCGCGCCCCTCGAGGTCGGGCAGCCCAAACTCGACCTTGCGTGGGTTCGGGTACCGTGGGGGTGAGGGATGGGTTGGGTACCGTGGGGGGTAGGGGATGGAGACGAGCCCAAACTCGACCTTGCGGGGGAGACATGGGGAGATACGGGGAGATATGGGGAGATATACGGAGATATGGGGAGCCCAAACTCCACCTTGCGGTCGATGCGGCCCGGCCGCAGCAGCGCCGGGTCGAGCGTGTCGGGGCGGTTGGTCGCCATCAGAATCTTGACGTTGCCGCGCGCCTAGCGAGTTGCAGACGGCGCCTCGCCGTTTCACTGGAGAGGACCCGTCTGCCTTTCTCTCTGCGCGTGCTGGAGCCGCCAGGCGAGGGGCTTGTGCTGCGAAGAGAAGGCTTGTGCTGCGAAGAGAAGGCTTGTGCTGCGAAGAGAAGGCGTGTGCTGCGAAGAGAAGGCGTGTGCTGCGAAGAGAAGGCGTGTGCTGCGAAGAGAAGGCGTGTGCTGCGAAGAGAAGGCGTGTGCTGCGAAGAGAAGGCGTGTGCTGCGAAGAGAAGGCGTGTGCTGCGAAGAGAAGGCGTGTGCTGCGAAGAGAAGGCTTGTGCTGCGAAGAGAAGGCGTGTGCTGCGAAGAGAAGGCGTGTGCTGCGAAGAGAAGGCGTGTGCTGCGAAAAGAAGGCGTGTGCTGCGAAGAGAAGGCGTGTGCTGCGAAGAGAAGGGGTGGTCGCTGCTCGAGGCCCTCAGCGAGTGGGGGGGGGGGGGGGGGGTCGCATGTGCATGGGTGCATGCCCATGACACGTCCATGACATGTCCGGGACATGTCCGATCAAACGGCGGCCTCGAGTACCGCATGGTCGCTACTCGCCCGGTCCCTCGGCCGTCTTGCCACGCGTGCGTGCGTGCTAGCGTCGCGGCGTGCAGTGTGCCGCAGTCCCCCGTCGCTACTCGCCAAGCCGCGCGCCTCGAAGCCGTCCAGCTGGTTGACGATCTCGAGCATCGTGCGCTGCACCTGTGAGAAAAAGAAACACCGGCGCGTGAAAAAGAAACACCCGCTGGTTGACGATCTCGAGCATCGTGCGCGCTGCACCTCGTTGTCGCCCCCCGCGCCTGCTCACAGCAGCGGCTGTGAAGAGACGCTGTTCACAGCGCTGCACCTCGTTGTCGCCCCCCGCGCCGTCGTCGAACCGCGTGCCGCCAATCGCGTCGACCTCGTCGAGAAAGACGATGCACGCCTACTCGTAGGAGCAGCTGTGAAGAGACGCTGTTCACAGCTGATGCACGCCTACTTCTAGGAGCAGCGCAGGGAGGGTAACCTGTCCTGCGAGCCAGAGGCGGTGGCGAGGCACTACAATCTCCCCATATCTCCCCATGTCTCCCCATGTCTCCCCATGTCCATGTCTCCCCTTGCTCAGAGTCGAGGTCGTCGTACTACTCTCCTAGTACTGCTAAGAACAGTCGAGGCACTAGGCCAAGAGTCGAGGTGCTACTAGGTCAGGAGTCGAGGTGCTACTAGGCCAAGAGTCGAGGTGCTACTAGGCCAAGAGTCGAGGTGCTACTAGGCCAAGAGTCGAGGTGCTACTAGGCCAAGAGTCGAGGTGCTACTAGGCCAAGAGTCGAGGTGCTACTAGGCCAAGAGTCGAGGTGCTACTAGGCCAAGAGTCGAGGTGCTACTAGGCCAAGAGTCGAGGTGCTACTAGGCCAAGAGTCGAGGTGCTACTAGGCCAAGAGTCGAGGTGCTACTAGGCCAAGAGTCGAGGTGCTACTAGGCCAAGAGTCGAGGTGCTACTAGGCCAAGAGTCGAGGTGCTACTAGGCCAAGAGTCGAGGTGCTACTAGGCCAAGAGTCGAGGTGCTACTAGGCCAAGAGTCGAGGTGCTACTAGGCCAAGAGTCGAGGTGCTACTAGGCCAAGAGTCGAGGTGCTACTAGGCCAAGAGTCGAGGTGCTACTAGGCCAAGAGTCGAGGTGCTACTAGGCCAAGAGTCGAGGTGCTACTAGGCCAAGAGTCGAGGTGCTACTAGGCCAAGAGTCGAGGTGCTACTAGGCCAAGAGTCGAGGTGCTACTAGGCCAAGAGTCGAGGTGCTACTAGGCCAAGAGTCGAGGTGCTACTAGGCCAAGAGTCGAGGTGCTACTAGGCCAAGAGTCGAGGTGCTACTAGGCCAAGAGTCGAGGTGCTACTAGGCCAAGAGTCGAGGTGCTACTAGGCCAAGAGTCGAGGTGCTACTAGGCCAAGAGTCGAGGTGCTACTAGGCCAAGAGTCGAGGTGCTACTAGGCCAAGAGTCGAGGTGCTACTAGGCCAAGAGTCGAGGTGCTACTAGGCCAAGAGTCGAGGTGCTACTAGGCCAAGAGTCGAGGTGCTACTAGGCCAAGAGTCGAGGTGCTACTAGGCCAAGAGTCGAGGTGCTACTAGGCCAAGAGTCGAGGTGCTACTAGGCCAAGAGTCGAGGTGCTACTAGGCCAAGAGTCGAGGTGCTACTAGGCCAAGAGTCGAGGTGCTACTAGGCCAAGAGTCGAGGTGCTACTAGGCCAAGAGTCGAGGTGCTACTAGGCCAAGAGTCGAGGTGCTACTAGGTCAAGAGTCGAGGTGCTACTAGGCCAAGAGTCGAGGTGCTACTAGGCCAAGAGTCGAGGTGCTACTAGGCCAAGAGTCGAGGTGCTACTAGGCCAAGAGTCGAGGTGCTACTAGGCCAAGAGTCGAGGTGCTACTAGGCCAAGAGTCGAGGTGCTACTAGGCCAAGAGTCGAGGTGCTACTAGGCCAAGAGTCGAGGTGCTACTAGGCCAAGAGTCGAGGTGCTACTAGGCCAAGAGTCGAGAAGGACGATGCGCACGCCTTCTTCGAGCGAGCCATCTGGAAGAGCTCGCGCACCTGAGCCGGGGGAGATGTGGGGAGATCTGGGGAGATGTGGGGAGATCTGGGGAGATGTGGGGAGATCTGGGGAGATCTGGGGAGATATGCGCACCATGCGCGCCCCCTCGCCGACGTACTTTTGCACCAGCTCGGAGCCAATCACGCGGATGAAGCACGCGTCGGTCCTGGGGCAGATATGGGGAGATATGGGGAGATATGCGGAGGTATATGGGGAGATATGGGGATGAAGCACGCTGGCCCGCACATCGGATCGGTTGGGACTCGGCGCCCACACACACACTCCCTCAGTCTTGCTCTCTGCCTACCCTCCCTCCCTCCCTCCCTGCCTGCCTGCCTGCCTGCCTGCCTGCCTGCCTGCCTGCCTGCCTCCCTCCCTCCCTCCCTCCCTGCCTGCCTGCCTCCCTCCCTCCCTCCCTCCCTCCCTGCCTCCCTCTCCGGCCAGATCTCGGCCAGATCTCGGCCAGAT